GTCTGTTAATTTCAACCCAGCAGCTTTCAACGATTCCGTACAATGTCATACCGATGCTTATAAGGCACACCATTCCGAATATAAAGCATTGCTCCGCCGCCACGTTTATCTTGTTTTCTATCCTGTCTCAGAACGTCATAGCGCTAATCAACAATCGAGAATCATCTACAGATTTATCTAGCCACGTTTCAGAAATACCAAATATATCAAACTATTTTGTTCGAAAAAAGAAAGATTGTCCATCTTGTACACGACACTTCGAGAATTTAGATGCCCAACTTTGAAACCTCTCACTTTCGGCAATTTTCCGTACACTTGTCCGCAACAGTAGGTCCAGGTTGAACTCTATATCGTTTGACATAAGAAAAGCATCATAGCTACCTGGGTCTTGGAGAATAAGCGAAATCCGGCGATTAACTTCGTTGATTGCGAAGGGGTTTCGAGGTGGCATTCTTATATGACCAAAATTTGGGATATCAGCTCTGATAAGGACTTGGAAGCATGGAAAACATTCAAGGATTTCATCTGGGTGACTAAAACAGCCATCTGCAGCAGCTAATTTTGCAAAGATCAAATATATATATAGTAACAAGAGCAAGTTTAAGGAGCCATTTAAAACACGTCCGTACGCCATGTTGTCACGTGCACATCTAGCCCCCTTAAGTAGCTTAGAAGAGTTCAGGGACACATGAAACTTCTGTAAGTTATAAAGTGAAACAAGACAAGTATTTTGCTAGGCTAATCATTGATATAAGTTAACTGGTTCCATAGTTACAGTTAAAAAACATGTCTCACTGAACAAAACAGCTAAATTAATTAGATTCCCTACGTTGCCAGGTGAAAACTCTCTGTAACAAGTAAACCCCTTAACCATATCACATAAAAATGAAGTAGAGTAATATTAATGCACCCTGAATTAAGTTCTATAAAAAACTAAGCATGTAAGAACATTATTTAGAGCTACACATTAGTTTAAAGTAGTGTTTTGTCTTTGAAAAGAAATAATTAAACTATGAAAAAACACATCAAGCCCCCTCAAGTAAGTAATAACAGTTCAGGCACGCATGAAACTGCTGTAGCTTATAAAGTGAAAAGAGACAAGTATTTTGCTGGGCTAATCATTGATATAAGCCAACTGGTTCCATAGTTACAGTTAAAAAACATGTCTCACTGAACAAAACAGCTAACTTAATTATACTCACTAAGTTACCAGGTGAAAACTTCCTGTAACAAGTAAACCACTTACCCAAATCACATAAAAATTACGTACAGTAATATTAATGCACCCTGAATTAAGTTCTAAGGAAAACTAAACACATAACAACATTATTTAGAACTACACATTAGTTTAAAGTAGTGTTTTGTGATTGAAAACAAATAATTAAACTATCAAAAACACATCTAGCCCCCTTAAGTAGCTAAGAAGAATTCAGGCACACATGAAACTTCTGTAACTTATAAAGTGAAATAAGACAAGTATTTTACTGGGCTAATCATTGATATAAGCCAACTGGTTCCATAGTTACAGTTAAAAAACATGTCTCACTGAACAAAACAGCTAAATTAATTAGATTCCCTACGTTGCCAGGTGAAAACTCTCTGTAACAAGTAAACCCCTTAACCATATCACATAAAAATGAAGTAGAGTAATATTAATGCACCCTGAATTAAGTTCTATATAAAACTAACCATGTAAGAACATTTAGAGCTACACGTTAGTTTAAACTGGTGATTTGTGTTTGAAACAAATAATTAAACTATGAAAAACACATCTAGCCCCCTTAAGTAGCTTAGAAGAGTTCAGGGACACATCAAACTTCTGTAAGTTATAAAGTGAAACAAGACAAGTATTTTGCTAGGCTAATCATTGATATAAGCTAACTGGTTCCATAGTTACAGTTAAAAAACCGGTCTCACTGAACAAAACAGCTAAATTAATTAGATTCCCTACCTTGGCATGTGAAAACTCTCTGTAATAAGTAAACCCCTTAACCATATCATATAAAAATGAAGTAGACTAATATTAATGCACCCTGAATTAAGTTCTATATAAAACTAAGCATGTAGGAACATTATTTAGAGCTACACATTAGTTTAAACTGGTGATTTGTGTTTGAAAACAAATAATTAAACTATGAAAAACACAACTAGCCCCCTTAAGTAGCTACGAAGAGTTCAGGCACACATTAAACTTCTGTAACTTATAAAGTGAAACAAGACAAGTATTTTGCTGGGCTAATCATTGATATAAGCTAACTGGTTCCATAGTTACAGTTAAAAAACATGTCTCACTGAACAAAACAGCTAAATTAATTAGATTCCCTACGTTGCCAGGTGAAAACTGTCTGTAACAAGTAAACCCCTTAACCATATCACATAAAAATGAAGTAGAGTAATATTAACGCACCCTGAATTAAGTTCTATACAAAACTAAGCATGTAAGAACATTATTTAGAGCTACACATTAGTTTAAAGTAGTGTTTTGTGTTTGAAAACAAATAATTAAACTATGAAAAAACACATCAAGCCCCCTTAAGTAAGTAATAACAGTTCAGGCACGCATGAAAGTGCTGTAACTTATAAAGTGAAAAGAGACAAGTATTTTGCTGGGCTAATCATTGGTATAAGCCAACTGGTTCCATAGTTACAGTTAAAAAACATGTCTCACTGAACAAAACAGCTAAATTAATTAGATTCCCTACATTGGCATGTGAAAACTCTCTGTAACAAGTAAACCACTTACCCAAATCACATAAAAATTACGTAAAGTAATATTAATGCACCCTGAATTAAGTTCTAAGTAAAACTAAACACATAACAACATTATTTAGAACTACACATTAGTTTAAAGTAGTGTTTTGTGATTGAAAACAAATAATTAAACTATGAAAAACACATCTAGCGCCCTTAAGTAGCTTAGAAGAGTTCAGGCACACATGAAACTTCTGTAACTTATAAAGTGAAACAAGACAAGTATTTTGCTGGGCTAATCATTGATATAAGCTAACTGGTTCCATAGTTACAGTTAAAAAACATGTCTCACTGAACAAAACAGCTAAATTAATTAGATTCCCTACGTTGCCAGGTGAAAACTCTCTGTAACAAGTAAACCCCTTAACCATATCACATAAAAATGAAGTAGAGTAATATTAATGCACCCTGAATTAAGTTCTATATAAAACTAAGCATGTAGGAACATTATTTAGAGCTACACATTAGTTTAAAGTAGTGTTTTGTGTTTGAAAACAAATAATTAAACTATGAAAAAACACATCAAGCCCCCTTAAGTAAGTAATAACAGTTCAGGCACGCATGAAACTGCTGTAACTTATAAAGTGAAAAGAGAGAAGTATTTTGCTGGGCTAATCATTGATATAAGCCAACTGGTTCCATAGTTACAGTTAAAAAACATGTCTCACTGAACAAAACAGCTAAATTAATTAGATTCCCTACGTTGGCATGTGAAAACTCTCTGTAACAAGTAAACCACTTACCCAAATCACATAAAAATTACGTACAGTAATATTAATGCACCCTGAATTAAGTTCTAAGTAAAACTAAACACATAACAACATTATTTAGAACTACACATTAGTTTAAAGTAGTGTTTTGTGATTGAAAACAAATAATTAAACTATGAAAAACACATCTAGCCCCCTTAAGTAGCTAAGAAGAGTTTAGGCACACATGAAACTTCTGTAACTTATAAAGTGAAATAAGACAAGTATTTTACTGGGCTAATCATTGATATAAGCCAACTGGTTCAATAGTTAACTGAACAAAACAGCTAAATTAATTAGATTCCCTACGTTGCCAGGTGAAAACTCTCTGTAACAAGACGCCTGTTCTGGCGTTAACTCCGGCGCACGTGCCAGTTTTCAATATAGAGCTTCTGAACATAAACAATACAGTTCATATTCGCATTTAGATGCCTTGCGAACCTAAATGTTCGATCGCGAAATTCAGAAGCACATCGTACTTTAAAAAGTATAAAAGTTAAATCGTTCAAGAATGTAAATAAATGGTATAATACATTCGCTTTGTCTTACACTTTGCCTTTGGAATTCGCGCTTATATAGTTATATTAAATCTTCAATCCTGTGCAAACTACGACGAGTCAAAGCGCCCATACACGACCACATCATCTTGTTAAACGGCGAAATAGCAGCGATATTACTAAAATAGGACCAGAATCTACACGTATTAAATATATTCTTACCCCAATTCAGTCTAAACTTAATCGAAAAGCATGAAAAGAACGGTTTATTTGTTCCTCTTGGAGGAATTGCCGTATCATGCGAGCGAAATCGAATCGCGCATCGGAAAATTAGCCAAAGCTGTACACCACAACTCTTGGGAGATAAGACTGGGACATAGATAAATCCAATCACATACACATTTAAATACTAGAATGTTTCGCGCCATTACACACTTGCGACGACGAAAAATAATAAAAAAAAAATAAAAAAAAAAAAAAACAAAAACAAAACAAAACCGAGGCGAATTTTCAACTCCGTCGCTGACGCCGGAGTAACAAGTAAACCCCTTAACCATATCACATAAAAATGAAGTAGAGTAATATAAATGCACCCTGAATTAAGTTCTATATAAAACTAAGCATGTAGGAACATTATTTAGAGCTACACATTAGTTTAAACTGGTGATTTGTGTTTGAAAACAAATAATTAAACTATGAAAAAACACATCTAGCCCCCTTAAGTAGCTTAGAAGAGTTCAGGCACACATGAAACTTCTGTAAGTTATAAAGTGAAACAAGACAAGTATTTTGCTAGGCTAATCATTGATATAAGCCAACTGGTTCCATAGTTACAGTTAAAAAACCTGTCTCACTGAACAAAACAGCTAAATTAATTAGATTCGCTACGTTGGCATGTGAAAACTCTCTGTAACAAGACGCCTGCTCAAGGCGTCACTCCGCCTGCAGGTGAAGAAACTACAGGTGACAAAAGGTCACAAAATGAGGTGATTTTGCTTTTTGTACTGTTGTCTGTCATACTTTTGGGATTTTTTGTTATACATTTTGTATTCATTAATATGAAATTATTCATTGATTGATGCATCTTTATTCATTGATGTAACTTTATTTTATTATAATGATGTAACTTCATTCAGTTGCTTAACTTTGTTTACTGATGTAACTTCATTAATTAATATAACTTTATTCATTGTAACTTCATTGTTGGCATTCAAAGGTAAGTTGGCATTCAAAGTTAAGTTGGCATTTAAAGTTAAGTTGGCATTCAAAAGTGACTTAAATTGGTATTCAAATGTGACTTGGTATACAAATGTGACTTGGTATTCGAATGTGACTTGGTATTCAAATGTGCATTCATGGAATTCACACTCAGGGACATAAATTTTTTTTTGCAACTTCCTGCAAATGAGCACCAAAACCTGGAAATTAGAACAAAAATAGGGTTTTATAAGTTTGGCAAATCAATCCTGTGATAGGAACCCCTTTTAACCCTGTTATCACTCGCTACTCTGGTTTATATAAATGATCACAAAGCCTGGTCAAATTGTAATCAGGACCTAACGTTTCGACAGTCCAGTCTACTGTCTTCATCAGGGGTGATCTGACATCATACCCAAGGGATGATGTCACCTGCCAATAAGATGCATATATTCCTCTGGCAAATGGGCACTGTCGTCCCTATTCAGAGCATGATTACTCATATTCCTATGCCACGCTTTTAGGCAAAGTCTTCGACCATGTATCAATTGTTAGTGGTAATTACTTTAGAGTTTTCCCATGCAATCTTGTGTTTCATGTCACACAGGTGCTCTGCCAAGGAAAAACTCTAAAGTAATTACCACTAACAATCGATATGGTCAAAGACTTTGCGTAGAAGCGTGGAATATAAAGATGAGTAATCATGCTCTGAATAAGGATGACGGTGGCGATTTGCCAAAGGAATATATGCATCTCATTGGCAGGTGACATCATCCCTTGGTTATTTAAGAAGCTTCGATTCCAGCTTTAGATCACCCCTGATGAAGACAGTAGACTGGACTGTCAAAATGTTGGGTCCTGATTACAATTCGACCAGGCTTTGTAATAATTTATACATTTATATTTGTGATAAAAGAATATCTTGGTGTAATCTGAAATACGACACAACTTGGCCATTTTTGATTCTGTGAAACCAATTGCAAAGAAACATGTTTCATATAAAAATTCATTGCCGAATTGAGGCATTTTATAAAACAGGCTTTAAAATAGACTCTAGTAATAGAAATATCGAATTCTTAAACATGCAGGGTCGCTAAATTTGTAGTATGTATAATTTCTGAGAGCAAACAGTACTTTGTATATACCTAGTTTGTATTAAAACACTACGTCAACGTGAATCACTAAATCAACTATAAAACAGAAAATCTTGGGTATACTAATATGCAATTACCGCCACAGCATATGAATACAATCTAAATCTTAATAACTTACCCTTGTAGTTGTTGAACATGGTTCTGAAAGCTCTTTCAATTCGACATTCATATTTTTCAATTTTTCACAACGAAAGGACCTCGATTCAAACACGAGGCACAAGGTGACAAGGCCACGAAGAAAATAAACATTCCACAAAATCAACCCAAAACCTCCCTAAATGCCAACTGATGTACATATTGATGTACATAATTCATCCGTATTCATCCGTGTAACCCAGGGCTTCTCGGTCAAAATTTTGGGTTACCTGTAGAAATGCCAACTTCTGTCGCCCAAAACTACGACTACTACGACTACTACTAAAAGGAACAAACTGCGCATACGCAGGCGGAGTAATAAGTAAACCCCTTAACCATATCATATAAAAATGAAGTAGAGTAATATTAATGCACCCTGAATTAAGTTCTATATAAAACTAAGCATGTAGGAACATTATTTAGAGCTACACATTAGTTTAAACTGGTGATTTGTGTTTGAAAACAAATAAACTATGAAAAACACAACTAGCCCCCTTAAGTAGCTAAGAAGAGTTCAGGCACACATGAAACTTCTGTAACTTATAAAGTGAAACAAGACAAGTATTTTGCTGGGCTAATCATTGATATAAGCTAACTGGTTCCATAGTTACAGTTAAAAAACATGTCTCACTGAACAAAACAGCTAAATTAATTAGATTCCCTACGTTGCCAGGTGAAAACTCTCTGTAACAAGTAAACCTTTTAACCATATCACATAAAAATGAAGTAGAGTAATATTAATGCACCCTGAATTAAGTTCTATATAAAACTAAGCATGTAGGAACATTATTTAGAGCTACACATTAGTTTAAAGTAGTGTTTTGTGTTTGAAAACAAATAATTAAACTATGAAAAAACACATCAAGCCCCCTTAAGTAAGTAATAACAGTTCAGGCACGCATGAAACTGCTGTAACTTATAAAGTGAAAAGAGACAAGTATTTCGCTGGGCTAATCATTGATATAAGCCAACTGGTTCCATAGTTACAGTTAAAAAACATGTCTCACTGAACAAAACAGCTAAATTAATTAGATTCCCTACGTTGGCATGTGAAAACTCTCTGTAACAAGTAAACCACTTACCCAAATCACATAAAAATTACGTACAGTAATATTAATGCACCCTGAATTAAGTTCTAAGTAAAACTAAACACATAACAACATTATTTAGAACTACACATTAGTTTAAAGTAGTGTTTGTGATTGAAAACAAATAATTAAACTATGAAAAACACATCTAGCCCCCTTAAGTAGCTAAGAAGAGTTCAGGCACACATGAAACTTCTGTAACTTATAACGTGAAATAAGACAAGTATTTTACTGGGCTAATCATTGATATAAGCCAACTGGTTCAATAGTTAACGGAACAAAACAGCTAAATTAATTAGATTCCCTACGTTGCCAGGTGAAAACTCTCTGTAACAAGTAAACCCCTTAACCATATCACATAAAAATGAAGTAGAGTAATATTAATGCACCCTGAATAAAGTTCTATATAAAACTAAGCATGTAGGAACATTATTTAGAGCTACACATTAGTTTAAAGTAGTGTTTTGTCTTTGAAAAGAAATATTTAAACTATGAAAAAACACATCAAGCCCCCTCAAGTAAGTAATAACAGTTCAGGCACGCATGAAACTGCTGTATCTTATAAAGTGAAAAGAGACAAGTATTTTGCTGGGCTAATCATTGATAAAAGCCAACTGGTGCCATAGTTACAGTTAAAAAATATGTCTCACTGAACGAAACAGCTAACGTAATTATACTCACTAAGTTACCAGGTGAAAACTTCCTGTAACAAGTAAACCACTTACCCAAATCACATAAAAATTACGTACAGTAATATTAATGCACCCTGAATTAAGTTCTAAGTAAAACTAAACACATAACAACATTATTTAGAACTACACATTAGTTTAAAGTAGTGTTTTGTGATTTAAAACAAATAATTTAACTATCAAAAACACATCTAGCCCCCTTAAGTAGCTAAGAAGAATTCAGGCACACATGAAACTTCTGTAACTTATAAAGTGAAATAAGACAAGTATTTTACTGGGCTAATCATTGATATAAGCCAACTGGTTCCATAGTTACAGTTAAAAAACATGTCTCACTGAACAAAACAGCTAAATTAATTAGATTCCCTACGTTGCCAGGTGAAAACTCTCTGTAACAAGTAAACCCCTTAACCATATCACATAAAAATGAAGTAGAGTAATATTAATGCACCCTGAATTAAGTTCTATATAAAACTAAGCATGTAAGAACATTATTTAGAGCTACACGTTAGTTTAAACTGGTGATTTGTGTTTGAAAACAAATAATTAAACTATGAAAAACACATCTAGCCCCCTTAAGTAGCTTAGAAGAGTTCAGGGACACATGAAACTTCTGTAAGTTATAAAGTGAAACAAGACAAGTATTTTGCTAGGCTAATCATTGATATAAGCTAACTGGTTCCATAGTTACAGTTAAAAAACCGGTCTCACTGAACAAAACAGCTAAATTAATTAGATTCCCTACGTTGCCAGGTGAAAACTCTCTGTAACAAGTAAACCACTTACCCAAATCACATAAAAATTACGTACAGTAATATTAATGCACCCTGAATTAAGTTCTAAGTAAAACTAAACACATAACAACATTATTTAGAACTACACATTAGTTTAAAGTAGTGTTTTGTGATTGGAAACAAATAATTAAACTATGAAAAACACATCTAGCCCACTTAAGTAGCTAAGAAGGGTTCAGGCACACATGAAACTTCTGTAACTTATAAAGTGAAATAAGACAAGTATTTTACTGGGCTAATTATTGATATAAGCCAACTGGTTCAATAGTTACAGTTAAAAAACATGTCTCACTGAACAAAACAGCTAAATTAATTAGATTCCCTACGTTGCCAGGTGAAAACTCTCTGTAACAAGTAAACCCCTTAACCATATCACATAAAAATGAAGTAGAGTAATATCAGTGGCGGATCTAGGGGTGTGCAGAATAAATTACTACAGCTTAAAATCGCAATCGCATTGGTAGGTTTTAATGTAAAAATATTCTTTTCAAATCTATAGCCAATAGCGTTATTATTAAGGTGTTTTGAATTTAAAATGAAGCTGTGTAATTTATTCTGCACACCCCTAGATCCGCCACTGAGTAATATTAATGCACCCTGAATTAAGTTCTATATAAAACTAAGCATGTAGGAACATTATTTAGAGCTACACGTTAGTTTAAACTGGTGATTTGTGTTTGAAAACAAATAATTAAACTATGAAAAACACATCTAGCCCCCTTAAGTAGCTTAGAAGAGTTCAGGGACACATGAAACTTCTGTAAGTTATAAAGTGAAACAAGACAAGTATTTTGCTAGGCTAATCATTGATATAAGCTAACTGGTTCCATAGTTACAGTTAAAAAACATGTCTCACTGAACAAAACAGCTAAATTAATTAGATTCCCTACGTTGCCAGGTGAAAACTCTCTGTAACAAGTAAACTCCTTAACCATATCACATAAAAATGAAGTAGAGTAATTATAATGCACCCTGAATTAAGTTCTATATAAAACTAAGCATGTAGGAACATTATTTAGAGCTACACGTTAGTTTAAACTGGTGATTTGTGTTTGAAAACAAATAATTAAACTATGAAAAACACAACTAGCCCCCTTAAGTAGCTAAGAAGAGTTCAGGCACACATGAAACTTCTGTAACTTATAAAGTGAAACAAGACAAGTATTTTGCTGGGCTAATCATTGATATAGCTAACTGGTTCCATAGTTACAGTTAAAAAACATGTCTCACTGAACAAAACAGCTAAATTAATTAGATTCCCTACGTTGCCAGGTGAAAACTCTCTGTAACAAGTAAACCCCTTAACCATATCACATAAAAATGAAGTAGAGTAATATTGATGCACCCTGAATTAAGTTCTATACAAAACTAAGCATGTAGGAACATTATTTAGAGCTACACATTAGTTTAAAGTAGTGTTTTGTGTTTGAAAACAAATAATTAAACTATGAAAAAACACATCAAGCCCCCTTAAGTAAGTAATAACAGTTCAGGCACGCATGAAACTGCTGTAACTTATAAAGTGAAAAGAGACAAGTATTTTGCTGGGCTAATCATTGATATAAGCCAACTGGTTCCATAGTTACAGTTAAAAAACATGTCTCACTGAACAAAACAGCTAAATTAATTAGATTCCCTACATTGGCATGTGAAAACTCTCTGTAACAAGTAAACCACTTACCCAAATCACATAAAAATTACGTACAGTAATATTAATGCACCCTGAATTAAGTTCTAAGTAAAACTAAACACATAACAACATTATTTAGAACTACACATTAGTTTAAAATAGTGTTTTGTGATTGAAAACAAATAATTAAACTATGAAAAACACATCTAGCCCCCTTAAGTAGCTAAGAAGAGTTCAGGCACACATGAAACTTCTGTAACTTATAAAGTGAAATAAGACAAGTATTTTACTGGGCTAATAATTGATATAAGCCAACTGGTTCAATAGTTAACTGAACAAAACAGCTAAATTAATTAGATTCCCTACGTTGCCAGGTGAAAACTCTCTGTAACAAGTAAACCCCTTAACCATATCACATAAAAATGAAGTAGAGTAATATTAATGCACCCTGAATTAAGTTCTATATAAAACTAAGCATGTAGGAACATTATTTAGAGCTACACGTTAGTTTAAACTGGTGATTTGTGTTTGAAAACAAATAATTAAACTATGAAAAACACAACTAGCCTCCTTAAGTAGCTAAGAAGAGTTCAGGCACACATGAAACTTCTGTAACTTATAAAGTGAAACAAGACAAGTATTTTGCTGGGCTAATCATTGATATAAGCTAACTGGTTCCATAGTTACAGTTAAAAAACATGTCTCACTGAACAAAACAGCTAAATTAATTAGATTCCCTACGTTGCCAGGTGAAAACTCTCTGTAACAAGTAAACCCCTTAACCATATCACATAAAAATGAAGTAGAGTAATATTAATGCACCCTGAATTAAGTTCTATAAAAACTAAGCATGTAGGAACA